TCCCAGTGTGTGGCTTGTTTTCTCATTCTCTTGATGTTGCCTTTCCCATAGCACACGTTTTTTTATTTTAATGACATCCAGGTTATCAGTTCTTTCTTTCATGAAGTGTGCCTTTGATATCATATCTAAAAAGTCATTGCCGTACCCAAGGTCATCTGGGTTTTTCTCCTCTTTTATCTTCTAGGTGTTTTATAGTTTTACATTTTACATTTTGGCCTATGATTAATTTTGAACTAATTTTTGTGAAGGATGTAAAATCTGTGTCTAGATTCATTGTTTTATATGTGGGTGTCCAGTTTTTTCAGCACCATTTGTTGAAAAGACTCTTCTCTATTGTATTACCATCACTTCTTTGTTAAAGATCAGTTGACTATATTTATGTGTGTCTGTTTTGGGACTCTTTATTCGGTTTCATCGGTCTAATTTGTCTATTCTTTTGCCTGTGCTACAGTCTTGATTACTCTAGCTTTATAATGGTTCTTGAAGTTGGATAGTGTCAGTCCTTTGGCTTTGTTCTTCTTCATTATCGAATTTGCTATTCTGGGTCTTTTAGCCTCTCCATATGAACCTTAGAATCAGTTTGCAATATCCACAAAATAACTTGCTGGAATTTTGATTGAGATTACATTGAACCTAGAGTTCAAGTTGGTAAGAACTGATGTCTTGACAATGTTGAGTCTTCCTATTCATGAACACGTAGTAGTTTCCGTATTTATTTAATTATTTCTTTGTTTGCTTTCATTAAAATTTTATAGTTCTTGTGTAGGTCTTATACGTATTTTGTTAGATTTATACCTAATTATTTCATTTTTTAGATGTTAATGTAAATGGTAATATGTTTTTGGTTTTTTTTGTTTTTTTAAAGATTTTTTATTGGGGAATTGGGGAATGGGAACAGCGGTGGGGAATTGGGGGAAGGGGAACAGACAAGTTGCTGTCGTTTTGTTCTTCAGTCTAGTTGTGGAGGACGTCGCTTCACCGGCCCAAGTTGGCACCATCATTGCGCTCTTCCCAGGTGAGGCAGATCAGTCGCCGGCTTCTGGACGGCCGCTCACTGCGGCTGCTGGCCGCTCACGCTGGCTGCTGGCTACACACGGTAGCCCATGGCAACCCACTGCCACAGGGGCTGCAGCCTACACCGTCACAGGCGACTCTTGGCAGCCCAGCTCCAGGTTGAACTGTTGTTCAGCATCTTAGCTGTAGAGGGCAGTGTCACTGGCCCTCATATGTGGGATCTGAACCGGGGCCCTCTGGCGTCCCAAGCCAGTTCTTAACCATCGCGCCACTTGGCCGGCCCCAATGGTAATATGTTTTTAATTCCAAATTCCACTTGTTCATTGCTGGTATATAGGAAAGTGATTGACTTTTGATATTAACCTTGTATCTTGCAACCTTACTATAATTGCTTATTAGTTCCAGAAGTTTTTTTGTTGATTGTTTGGTTTTTCTACACAATCATGTCATCTGCCAGCAAAGACACTTATTTTTTTCCTTTCCAATCAATATACTTTTTATGTCCCTTTCACTGCATTAGCTACATTTCCTTTTCAGTCCCTTCTCTATTTTCTGTATCCATTTGCCTTTCCTGTTTATTCTTTAACTTTTCAGTCTGAGTAACATTCTCCTTGTTAAATCAGACAAATGAGAGTTGAGAGGGGTATATTTCACATAACAGCACACATACCATATTTCCCCATGTATAAGATGCACCCTTTTTTCGAAAAATTCGGGGTCTAAAAACTGGGTGCGTCTTATACAGTGGTTGTAGATTTTTTTTTACTTGCATTTCCTGCTTTTTTCATGCTTGTTTTTGCGCTCATACAACCGCTGTATAAGACACACCCAGTTTTTAGACCCCAAATTTTTCAAAAAAGGGTGCGTCTTATACATGGGGAAATATGTAATTAAATTCATTGCATGTCAAGAAATTGAGTACTTAAATGCTTATAGACTTGCAGGTGAATTTAATTTTGACCTAGCCTTTTGATAATTTGAATTGGATGAAAAGAAGATGAGAGAGGAGAAAGGTTGTAGACAAAATCTAGCATTATGGTCTGAAAATATTTGTATGGTGCTATGGTAATTACATGAGCTTTATTGGAGTGAAAGGTAATTGTAGAAAGAATGGGCATTAGTGAAAGTGGAGATCATGGGAAGAAGCAGTTTAATAAAATGAGACTTAAGTTGCTGTATTCATAGCACCTAAGTTGTGTGGAACTTTATACTTTATAAAACCATTTTCATGTAACCTTTTGAGATAGATGGGAGGTATTCTTGTTTTATGAATGAAAAAAATAATATTTAGATTTAAAAATGTACCAATTCTATATAATAGTATGTGACCCAGTTAGGACTAAAGCTCGTTATCTACATTTCCAAGGTATCAGTTCTTCACTGATACTAATACACCTCTGTTGTTTCATCACAGTACCCTACTCTTGTAACTCTTACAGTTTGTGTTTTCATGTGCATTATCTGATTTGAGACTCAAAAACCTTGTGAGATATATAGTTTAAGTATTAATGTTATGATCTCATTTTACAGATAAGGAAAATGAAGATGAGAGAAGGTAAAGTTAACCAGATGTAAAGTAGCTAGGACTGCTTTCTTAATCCCATCACTTATTTTCTGTATCTACTTGCCTTTCCTGTGTTCATTTTTCATTTTTCAGTCTAGATATTAACTTTTTCTATTAAACTGAGACTAAAAGAAGTTAAATAGGGCCGGCCGAGTGGCTCAGTTGGTTAAGAGTTGGCTTAAGAGCGTGAGCTCTGAGCAACAGGGCCACCGGTTTGATTCCCACATGGGCCAGTGACTCTGCACCCAAGCTGAGCTGTCGCTGAGCTGCCAACAGATGGCAGGATGGCTCAGCTGGTGTAACAACAAGATTGCCTGTTTAATCGTGGGCTACGCCCTTCCGCAACTAAGACTGATCTTGACACCTTGAGCTGAGCTGCTGCCCAGATGGCTCAGTGGATAGAGTGTGCGCTCTTAACAAGGCTGCTGGTTCGACTCCGGCATGGGATGGTGGCTCTGCCCACCCGCAACTAAGACTGAACACAGCACCTTGAGCTTAGAGGCCAAGAGCTGCTGACGGGCAGCCAGGTGGTGACTGGTGCCCTCCACAACAAAGATTGAAGAACAATAACTTGGCTGGTCCCCTCCTCCAATTCCCCAATAAAATCTTTAAGAAAAACAAAAAGAAGTTAAATAGGTTTAAAAGGTCAACACTCTAATAAGTAAAAACGATCCAGATCTAAACTTAGACCTTGTGGTTTCTGTCTTACCAATATTCTCTTCCGGAATTAAGAACTTACTGGAAGACCCAGAAGTTTCTTGAGACTTGTTCATACCATGATTGAGAATTATTCTGATAGAAATGTGTAGGATTATCTTGAAAGATCAGAAGTGGAAGTTGGTGATATCAGCTGTAAGGTACCATATTAACACAATTTGTTTGCAGACTTAAAATTTAACTGAAAAGTGTGAAATGAGGTTCTAAATGAAGATAAAAGTTTCAGTATTTGGAGTTTTTTACATAAAAATGCTCAGAAATGAAGTGCTATACTCTCTCAGTCCTACCGACATTCATATTTAATAATGTTTGGAATGTTTTAATTTATTGATAATACATTAAAAATAGGAACCAAATCTTCTACTTTTTAATTATCTCCATAACTTGTGTTTGAGGTGTGAGACAGGAAGGAAATGATTCATATTATATAGATGTCTTTATGTTTCTTTTATCTATTCTAAGCAGCCGCTATGATTCAGTTTGAAGTATTCCTGTATTAATTTCTTAAAGCTGACATAACACATTGCTACAAACTCAGTTGCTTAAAAAACCAAAAATTTATTCTCTCAGTTCTGGAGGCCAAAAGTCTGAATTAGTATCACGGGGCTCCCTCTGGAGGCTCCACGGGGAGAATCTGTTCCTTGGCACTTCCAGCTTCTGGTGGCTGCCAGCATCATTCTAATCTCTGTCTCTGTGGCCACGTTACCTTCCTCTCTTCACTCTGTGCCAAATCTCCTTCTACCGTCTTCTTATAAGGTACCTGTGATTGTATTGAGGGACCCCCTGGATAATCCAGGATAATCTCCCCATCTCAGAATCCTTAATTATACCTGCAAATGTTTTGTGCTTTTGTTTTGCCGTATAAAGTCATATTCAAAGGTTCCAGGGATTAGGATGTGGATGTCTTTTGGGGAAGCCATTATTCAGCCTACAACAGTCCTTATTGCCTCTGACTTTTTCTTTTTCACATCTCTTTTCTTGTCTCCTATTTTTATTCTTTTTCATCTTCCAGAAGCACATCGTGGAAAGTACATTGAGTGGGTATGATCTAAAGTCATGACCAAGAGTTGAGTTAGCTGTGGTTTGATCAGTGAGTGAGCCTTACTGCCCTCACTGTAGAGCATCAGATTGTGTTCACATTAACTTTTGTCATTGAATTCGTTGACAGTAATAGCACCTTTGCTAAATTCAGTACTCTTTATTAAAATAATTATTGAATCTTTGGGTAAAGTATGTGAGTTAACATGAAATTTCTTTCCAGTCAAAGCATCTGTTGATTAGATTAGCAGGCATTGATATTATTATTGAGAAAATAGCCAAATAGCCTCTAGCATTGTTTCAAAACCAGTTTTCCTCTAAGGAATTATTTTTTTTCACATTTGCATTTGTTTCAGTGACAACTTAACTTGAATTTAATGAAGGTAAACTGAAGAGTTGGCAGATTTCTGATCCAAAAGTCTATCGTCAAGAGACTTTTGTGGTTTGGGGCGGAACACATAACCTTTCTTAACATCTGTACTAAAGGAGTTGAATTATATGATTGGTAACATCCTTTCTGATTCTGAAAGCCTCTGTCTAGTATTTAGTATAAAATATTTTAAAACCGACAAACAACAAACCTTAATTTCTTTAGTACGATTAGAAAAAGGAATCATATTGGCAAGATTATTTTGAAATAACTGTGGTGCTTTTCATTTTTCTGTAGATGGACCACACATCCCCGACCTACATGCTTGCTAACTTAACCCACCTACATTCTGAACAACTTCTGCAGGGTCTGAATCTTCTTCGTCAGCATCACGAACTCTGTGACATTATCCTTCGAGTAGGTGATGTTAAAATCCATGCTCACAAAGTGGTCCTGGCCAGCATCAGCCCATATTTCAAAGCTATGTTCACTGGAAACCTTTCTGAAAAAGGGAACAGCGAGGTTGAGTTTCAGTGCATTGATGAAACTGCTTTGCAGGCCATTGTGGAGTATGCCTATACGGGGACTGTTTTTATTTCACAGGACACAGTGGAATCGCTCCTTCCAGCAGCAAACTTACTACAAATAAAACTTGTCCTGAAAGAATGTTGTGCATTTCTTGAAAGCCAACTGGATCCTGGTAACTGTATTGGAATTTCTCGTTTTGCAGAGACATATGGTTGTCATGACCTTTATTTGGCAGCCACTAAATACATATGCCAGAATTTTGAAGCTGTTTGCCAGACAGAAGAGTTTTTTGAGCTTACCCACGCTGACTTGGATGAAATTGTTTCCAATGACTGTTTGAATGTAGCTACCGAAGAGACTGTTTTTTATGCCCTTGAGTCCTGGATCAAGTACGATGTACAAGAACGCCAGAAATACTTAGCACAGCTACTTAACAGTGTGCGATTACCATTGCTGAGTGTGAAGTTTCTCACCAGACTGTATGAAGCAAACCATCTTATTCGCGATGATCGCACCTGTAAACATCTTTTGAATGAAGCCCTAAAGTACCACTTTATGCCTGAACATAGACTCTCTCATCAGACGGTACTGGTGACACGGCCGCGCTGTGCTCCCAAAGTGCTTTGTGCAGTGGGAGGGAAATCTGGACTGTTTGCCTGTTTGGATAGGTAAATAGAAGGATTGATGTTAATAGATTTTGTACTTTTTTACTGTGCTTTCTATATGTTTCAGTAGTTTGATTTTCTTCTTTCTATTACATTTTTACATTTGTTCTATTTTTTTCTCTTCTTCCTAAACATTTATCTGGTTGTTTTCATCACATTGTCATCCATTCTCTACAGCACTCAATTATTATCACCCCACTTTCTCCCATTGCACAAACTTTGTATCTTCTGGTTACTAACTTTTCTTCTGTTTTATGTCTTTTCCTTTTCCTTTGTGAAACCATTTACACCTTTACTTGAGGCATTTATTATAGCCAGCTATATCAGAAGTTGCTAAAGAGAGCTAGGAATCTGTGATGAGGGAGACTAGGGACAAAAGTGGGTTTGAATGAATACAGTTAATTAGAAGAACCACCAAAAAAATAAGAAAAAATAGGGTACTGATACAAATCATGGACTTTATGTGTAATTAATTTTCTTCAGTATAAATAGTTTTTAATGACAGTAGGAAAAAGTACTTTCTTTTCTAATAACTTAGATTAGGAATTGTCAGACTTTTTCTATCAAGAGCTAAATAATAAATAATTTAGACTTTATGGCCATATGGTCTCTGTCATAACTACTCAGCTCTGCCACTGTAGTGCAAGAGCGGCCATAGACATTACAGAAATAAATGAGCATGGCTGAGTTCCAGTCAAATTTTATTTACAAAAGTAGCTGTTGGGCTGAATTTGGCCCATAACCATAGTTTGCCAATCCATGATTTAGAGCATTATGCAAATAATATTTATACATTGAAAATATAGCTGGATGTTACCTGTGCTTTTCCCTTGAATGGGATTGCTTCATGAAAACTTTTGTGTGTGATACATTTTTTTTTAATACTGTGGATTTCTTTCTGGCCTTTTCCAGAAATTTGGTAGATTGCTTCCCCCCTCCAGTGGTAGGAAACTATTGATGTTTTATCAGCGTGAACTGATATATTCTATATCTTTTTTAAAAGCCTCAGTGTACATCTTAATTGTAGTCTAAAACTAGTATCATTGAAATTGGACTATAGGTAGAACATTAGTCATGGTGACTGTGTGAACTGTTTACTCTTGTTTTTAATGGCATTGATTATTGGCATGAAGTAAATCATAGTCAAATGTCATGACAAAAAATTTCAAATATGAGTTTACATTGTAAAGATTCTTGAGCAGTTGCCTCTTGGTCTCTAGTATTAACAGTAACAAACAAATTATTGAAGAGCCATAAGAACGATTCATAGCTTTAGATTCAGTAAGCGTTCATCTTAGAAAAAAAAAATTTAAATGTTATTTGCACCAAGCTGTTTATGGCAGTATTATTTATAACTATGGAAGAATTGGAATCAACCTGAATAATTATTCAGTTTAATTCTACAAAACATTAAACACCTGTGCATAAGATACACTATGCTAGATAGTGGATCTTTATTAAGTTCATAATTTAGTAAAGGAGATATGTTTAAATAGATAATTATAACACATATTGTTAATACAGTGCTAAAAATAGTTCTATGGAAGTATTAAGGAGGAGCATTTATCCCATTTGGGAGATTTAGGGAAGATTTATGGAAAAGTTTATGTCCAAGCTGAGTGTTGAAGACAAAGCAAAAGCCAAGCAAAAAAATGATGGGAAGGTCACAGGACGTACACAAATACACAGTGGATGTTACTCTAGGGTATGCAGGAAACAAAAAGCATTTTGGTATTCTGAAGTATAAAATTTTAACCAGCAAGTGGCAGGCTATGGTCAAAAAGGCCAAGTCAAAGAAAGTATTGTGTGCCATGATGAGAGGATATGTATTACATGGGTTGAAAAACTGTTTTAAGGAAGGTAGTGAAATGATCAGATTTGTATATTAGATCATTCTTAACTACATTATGGAGAAAGATCAAGGGGGCCCGCTTGCATCAGAGTGATTAGAAAAGCGGTTATTGTAAAAGTACAGGCAAGAGATTATGAGGTCCTGAATTAGGGTAGTAACAGTATGATGGAGACTGGGGCATTCATTTAAGAAATATTTTAAGAGAGCAAATTGATAGGATTTGGTTGAATGGATATGAGGGACTGATGAGAGGGAAAATCAAAGATGAGTGAGATTTCTTGGTTAAATACTGGATGAATGGTTACTGTATTTCCCCATGTATAAGATGCACCCTTTTTTGAAAAATTTGGGGTCTAAAAACTGGGTGTGTCTTATACAGTGGTTATAGATAGTTATCAAGCCATTTAAGAAGTGTGGCATTTCAAATGCCATAGATGGAACTGAGGACGAGGCAATATATGAAGACAGTGATTCGTCATCAGACACAGATGAGGACAAGCTAATGGTTGGGAGTTTTGACAGTGATGAGGAGTTGTATGAGTTTTATGATGAATAAAACTTGAGTTCAGTAACTTTATGTAATACTTTTTTTTTCCAAATTTCGGGCCCCAAAATTAAGGTGCATCTTATACATGGGAGCATCTTATACATGGGGAAATAACGGTGTATACAGAGAGAGGGAATATAGGAGGAGCCATTTTAAGGGGGAAAATAATGTGTTTAGTTTGGGACATCCTGAGTTTGAAGTGCCTGTTGAATATCCAACAAAGGATATTTTACTACTAGCTGGATGTGATTGCAAAGCTCAAAGAAGAGATTAGTGCTAGAAATTTGGAAGTTAGCATATAGCATAATTTAGAGGTGTAAAATAAAATCACAACCTTTCTATCACTCAGGAAATTCCAAGTAGTTTAGGAGCTCTGTGCTAGGAACCTGGGACAAACAAATATATTTTTTATTAAACTATTACTGTATAGCCCCATATATCATCTAATTTAAGTGTATTGCCCAGCCTTTTTATTTATTTATTTTTGACTGAAACCTGTCTCATGTCCTCTAGCACTAACATTTTATCATAAGAAAAATCCCCTTTATTCTCAACTTCTTGTTCTAATGAAATAGGCTGATGCTTAAATATACTGTTTTTGCTAAAGTTCTCTCAAAACTGTTCCTTCCCCCCATGTCTCAGGCATCACAGGTCCTAAAGGTTGGATAAGTGTTTTCTTTGCTTCTCACTTCTCATAGCCACTGCCAGGATTTTTCATCTCTGTTTCCTCAAAAACCTCAACTCATTTCAAGCATTTACCATCAAGCACTATCACTTGATATCCCTTCTGTTGCCATCATCTGCTGTTGCTTCACTACATTCATTGAAGATTTTTTTATAGCTGGCTTCGTCTTTCTCATCTTTTTACATATGTAGTCATTCTTATTGATTTCAACACCCACACAGCATCATCCACAATTATCCAACTCCTTTGCCTCTCTCCTTGATCTCACTTCTTCCAGGCTTTTCTGCATTATCCGAGGCACCTGTTCTCATGATCATACCCTCAACTTTGTCATTACCAATGACGTCAACACTGAAAATCTTGGTTTCAGACATTCCACTCTCTGTCAGCCACCTCCTTTCTTCCCACCTTATTTATTTCAGTAACCCACTGCAATCATTCTATGTTCCCTTCAGGACTTTTAGTCCTTTGGCTCTCTAATCAGTTCAGAAAACTGATGGCCCACAAACCACCACATGTCCTCACCTTCACCCTTTCCCTAGCTTAGATTCTAGGAATATCAGTGTCATCATTACTTTGAATATATCTATGGCTCCCTTGCCTTTCTTTCCTTCTGTCATACTCATCTAGTTAAATTCAGTTCTCCACCTACGCCATGGCTGCGATGGAGCGTGGCTAAGAGAAGCACACACACCCATCCTAGCCGGCCTCACTTGCGGGCCTCAGCACTCCCATCCACCCCTTTACCTTTTCCTAATTAATTTACTCTTTCGTGTCCCTGGAGGATGATTTCATACCTTCTGCTCTCCCCATGAAAACAGCCAAAGCTGCTTCCCCTCACCTTCTAACTCAGCTTGTGACCTTGTTTCTTACTCTACTGAGAAGACAGCAGTCTGAGGAGAGCTACCTCATCTTCCCATCACCAAATCCACCAAGTTCTTTCGCTAAGACCAACCTCCACTTCCGCATGTGTTCATCAGCTCGCATCCCCTCTATTCTACAAGAGGACTTTGCTCCTGCAGTTCTCCTGTCACTCCTCTGCCATCACCTTCTCCCACTCTACTGCGTCACAGCCACCAGCATGCAGACGTTGTTCTGGGTTAAGCTCCCAGATTAAGTTAACCTCCCTGGGGCTCTGTGGTCTTTTCTGCTCATCTTTATAGCTGCCTCCTATTTCTTTCATTCTGCAGTAAAATCTTGGAAAAAATGTCTATACCCACTTTTCACTTCCTCATCTCCCACTCTCTTGAACTATTCCAGTCAAAATTTGTCCCCACCACCTCACTGAAACTGCTCTCCTTAAGGTCACATAGTTCCCTGATGTATTGTTCTCATTGGAACAAATTCATTTTTAAAATAAGCAATATTATAAAACTGTACATAGACATTCAATAATTATTGAATGAGTAAATGTACTTTCATCATACTGGGTCGAGAATATATATTTTTACGCCATGCGTTGTTGAGTCTGGGAACATTGTCTACTTTTTCCCAACTCTTTTTTGTAATAAAATATTTATACTTGGAAGAGAGACCATATGTAATATGCATGCTGAGTATAAAGAATAATACTCAGGTACCTATCAAGCAGCTTAAGAAATAGACTATTAATAAAGTCCCCTTATGCCCCTCCTGATGCCAACTCCTTCCTTCCCCTAGAAGTAACCATTGTTCTGAATTTTCGGTTACTCCTTTGCTTTTTTGTTGTAATTTTGCCGCATCTTGTATGTGCCGCAATGTATCATTAGGTTTTACACATTTTTATATAAATGCAGTAATACTATATATGTTCTTCAGGGATGTGCTTTCTCACTGAACAGTAAGTTTATGAAATTCATCTGTGAGACTTCATGAGGAAATAGTTCATTTAGTTTCTTTGGTGTGTGGTGTTATAATATATGGACATAATACAATAGTTTCCACCATGAACATGTTAACTATAAAAATTAATTGAAGTGTTACACACGTACAGAAAAGTTCACAAATTCCAAGTGTACAGCTCAGTGAATTATCACAAAGTGAACATATTACAAACCAGTTCAAGAAATAGGAAACATGACCAACACCCAGGAACCACTCTTGAGTTCCCTCTGTCCTCCCCAAAGGTAACCACTATCCTCATTTCTATTCCAGCGATTAGGAATGTTTTTTAACTTGACATAAATTAAACTATATAGAATATATTCTATTGAATTTGGCTTCTTTCCCTCAATGTTATATATATAAGATTCATCTGTGTTGCATGTAGCTATAGTTTGTTCATTTTCATTTTTGTATAGTATTCTATTATATGATATGCCACAATTTATCAATTTTTATGGTTGATGAACATTTGAATTGTTTCTAATTTTTAACTGGTACAAATAATGCTTCTGTGAACATCCTTGTACATATACATGTGTATGCATTTTTCTTGGGTACGTATCTAGGAATGAAATTAGTCGGGAGCTTATATACCACATCTTATTTATCCATTCTCCTTTTGACATGACTGTATTGTTCTGCTAAGAACGTTTCTGTATATGTGTACTGGTGCAAAACTGACTGTAATAGGCATTCAATAGAGTAGATACATAGGAATGAAACTGCTGAGTTGGAACATGTGTGTAGCCTCGGTTTTACCAGAGAACGTGAAATTGTTTTCCAGAGTAGTTTGTACCAGTTCACACACTCACCATGAGAGTATGCATTCCTAGCTCCACATTCTTGCCAATAGTTGTTATTATCTGACTTTAAATTTTCCCTGTCTGGAAAGTATGTCATAGTTTATTGTAGTTTTAATTTGCATGTCCCTGATTATTAATGATGTTAAATATTTTTATTTGTTTATGGACCATTTTGAAATTTTAAATTTAATATTTTCTGCTTATTCTTTAGTGTGGAGATGTACTTTCCTCAGAATGATTCTTGGATTGGTTTGGCACCCCTACGCGTTCCTCGCTATGAATTTGGAATATGTGTTTTAGACCAAAAAGTGTATGTTATAGGTGGTATTGAAACTGATGTGCGTCCTGATTTCACTGGCAGAAAACATGAAAATTCAGTAGAATGCTGGAATCCTGATACGAATACCTGGACTTCTCTCGAGAGAATGAATGAGAACCGAAGTACTCTTGGAGTAGTAGTACTTGCAGGAGAACTTTATGCTTTAGGTGGTTATGATGGACAGTCTTACTTACAGTCTGTAGAGAAGTATATTCCCAAAATAAGAAAGTGGGAGCCTGTGGCACCAATGACTACAACACGAAGTTGTTTTGCCGCAGCCGTGCTGGATGGAATGATCTACGCCATTGGTGGGTATGGTCCCGCCCACATGAACAGGTATTTAACTTAATCAAGCGGTAAATGCTTGTAGATTTTTAAAGTATTAACAATGATTTCTGGTTTTTAAACAATTTGTGTGTATAAGTGAGCCTCTTTAATTTTTAAAGTAATACTGATAGACATTTGGGAAATTTAATCTGCTCCATGAATATAATTGTAATTGTTTTACATGGGGATTTAATATAAACCTAAAATAAGATGAAGTTAGACAACTTTAGATTTTGGGTGGGGTGTGTGTGTGTGTGTGTGTGTGTGTGTGTGTGTGTGTGTGTGTGTGGCCATGGCCTGTGACTGCATTGCCTAATACAATAGAACAATAGAAAAGTGAAAAGTGTAACTCNTGTGTGTGTGTGTGTGTGTGTGTGTGTGTGTGTGTGTGTGTGTGTGTGTGGCCATGGCCTGTGACTGCATTGCCTAATACAATAGAAAAGTGAAAAGTGTAACTCCTGTATACTTACACAATATTATGATGCATAAACTTAAAGCCTTATTTAAATATTCCTTTCTGGATTCTTATTTTATAATCATACATGTATTATTATGTATCTAAGTTGTGCTAGAGTCTGAATTTGAGATTTCTGTGTTATGTAGTATTCTCTGAATAAAAGAAATATATATGAGAAATAAAAGCATGAAGTGACTGCATATATGGAAAATTAATCATAATTCTGAACTTCGTTGAAAATTGATGTTTCAAAGATTTTATCTCTAGTGGTAATTAGAGTGGTATGTGTTTATTGATTGTGAGCATTTTAATGAAAGAATATATTGTTTAACTGACTGAGAAAGTAATGGTACAACAGCATTTCACTGTAAATTTTTATTTCTGTGTAAGCTGAAGTAGTCCGTCCCCCTTTTTATTGTTCCCTTAGTTGAAGGAAAGTATTTGGGGCCCAGGCATACGTTTCTATTTTTGAGAAGTTGCTGTCAGAAATTTATAAAATAAAAGGTTAAGTATTTTAGTTTTGAGATAATGCTCTTTAAGTTTTTGCTACAGTTTATCAACTTTTCTTATCCTGTGACTTTGCTCTAAAGGTTTTTATTCAGGGGTCTTTTCAGAAACAGTTAAAAGTTTAGTCTGTACTGTATTCTAGTCTACAGCCAAGTCTCTATTCTAAACTCCAGAATCATGTCACCGACTCTCAAAGGCTTTAGGCTTTTTTGAGAAGTTAGATTAAGACCAGAACAAGCTCAGCAAGCCTGCCTTTGTGCCACTTCAGGGCAAAGCGTAGGCTTAACGGCCTTCTGGGATTTTACATGGAAGCTTTTTGGAAAATTCTGATTTGATTTGGGTTGCCATACTACAGCTTGGAAATGACAAGGGTTCTCTGGAATATAGATTTGGCTTAAATCCCTGAATTCTCCAATCACTCTGAGATTATTTTGATTTCATCAGTTTGTATTATGAAATCTGCAACGTTTGCTTTGCAGCAAACCACTGTGAATTCTCCTGTAAGAAAGTCTTCTTTCCTTCTCTTCCCTTTTCCTTAGCTGTGTAGCAGACCCTGAGTATCCTTAGAACGCATCTATATTCAGTTTGTGATTTTCAAAGTCTTTTCACATGCATACCCATTTGACTTTATTCTTACACGAATCCTTTAAAGTTGTATTACTGCCATTTTTGCAGGCGAGAGGAAATGACTTATCCAGGATAACAAAAATCCAAAGTGGCAGGGCTAGGATTCATTCCGCTCCAGATACACAGCATTAGTACTTGAATCCGGGGTTTCTGCCTCCCAAAGTTCTATAACCTTAATATCCCTTCCTGCCTGTACAATATAATGGAATTAGTCTATGGCTGTTATTGCATCCAGTCCCCAAGAGAAGCTTCTATCCCTGCAATCTTATCAGAAAATGGGACAAACTACTCTGGTTTTATATCTATTTATTTGAACTTTTAAAAGTTCAAATAATGGGGTTTAGTTTTGCTTTAGTAGGAAGAGTGACATAAAGGATATGTGAATTAATTTTTTTTTTTTTTTAATATTTGCAGTGTGGAGCGTTATGATCCAAGTAAGGATTCCTGGGAGATGGTTGCATCTATGGCAGATAAAAGGATTCACTTTGGTGTGGGTGTCATGCTGGGCTTTATTTTTGTGGTGGGTGGACATAATGGTGTCTCACATTTGTCCAGCATTGAAAGATATGACCCTCATCAAAATCAGTGGACTGTGTGTAGACCAATGAAAGAACCCAGAACAGGTAATAATAACATTAATTTCTAACTGTAGGACAATATTTTGTATAGTGATGTTCTTGGAATAGTGGTTCCTTGGAATATAAGAATATTACTTGTGAAGAAAAAACTTGTGTGTGGTAAACTTTAGATACAACTAGATTAGACAAACTATATAGATTTTTCTACTGTGGCTTTAATATGCCAGTGCACATATTATCATTCCTTAAATTTGGAGAATACATTTTGAGAAATGCTAGTAATCGACTGTATCTTACAGAAGTTGTTTTTGTCCATGTAACAACTGTCATCTTTTTATATGTTACACATACATCAGCAGCCTATGTGTTCACTTTCAATTGTTCTCTCCTTCTCAATGGATATAGCTGATCAAGAAAGGGTTGAATTTCAGGGTTCCTAGAGAGAAACAAATACATCAATGAAAAGAATAAATTATCTTTGAGCCCAAACTCAAGTCACATTATTTTAAGGGTTTAAGTTATTGATAGAATGCCTTAGGAATATTCCTTGCATTTGCGATTAAAGAAACTCCAGAAACAGAAAGATGTGAAGGAAACTAAAATGACAAAACGGAATCAACTGTTTTGTTTACTATAATTAGTTTCTGTGGTGTCATTGAGAGAGAGCCATAAAACAACGAGGATGTAAAAAATAAGGATAGCCTTGTTCTTTTCAGAACTACTCGGATTTTTCACTGTGGGTGTTGACACCTCTAACGCCCGCTCGTTCAAGGTCAGCTGTACAAATGGAGGTCTTTTGTAGAAGTAAAGTGGTGTAATAGGAACTTCAGAAAAGCACGGGATACTTGTATTTGAAAACCTAATAAAAATGAATGATTTCTTGAAAACTGTGAATAGAAATTGAGAAGAAAGCATATTTTCCTGTTGTGGAGGAAAGGGAGAGCAGGATTGGGGAGGAGAGGCAAAGGAAGACTCCAACTCTTACTTTTATATTCAGGGATATTTTTCCAGTGAGTACATATTACTGTATTGCTTGTCTAATTAATAATAGATTGTTGAAATGTACTTTAAGAGAACATTAAAATACAAAGTCATTTCTTTTTAGTGAGAAGTCTGCTAAATAGTAACGTGTTTTTTCCCGTTTTTATTCCCCTTTCCCAGGAGTTGGTGCTGCAGTCATTGACAACTACCTTTATGTAGTCGGTGGTCACTCAGGGTCTTCCTATCTGAACACTGTGCAGAAATATGACCCTATCTCAGATACGTGGCTGGATTCAGCCGGCATGATATACTGTCGCTGCAATTTTGGTTTAACTGCACTTTGACAAGCGTGGGCTCATGGAAACAGTGAAGTGACGAACCTGTGTCGCATGAAAGGATGCCCAAGTTCCTGAAACCCAAAAACTGCATTGCTTTCTTTTTCACTTGAAGTGGCATGAAGACTCAGAATTTTGTTGGGTACTTTGACAAGTAGCTTTGGTTGCTCTTGATTACACAGTGAATCAATAAAAAAAAAAAAAAAAAAAAAGGAAACATCTTGCCAATTGAATCGTGCACTCTCCCTCTCCCCCCAATTCTGGAATAGTTTTGTGTTCATGAGTGTACATGTGGAGAAAACCTTCCTGCTTTTTATTATTATTTTAGTTCTTTCCCTCCTTGATATGCACCATGATTTAGGTGAGTGATACTTAGATGTTCAAGTGTATTGAATGACTGGACACAGTGCTGATTTTGTCTGTTGGGTGTGAATTCATATGCTTCACATTTTAAATAAAGGGCTGCTTTTTGGTACTTTTAAGGGGTATAAATTATATGGCATTGTGAGTCACGTAGATGTTCTTCCTGCTCAAAGGCTTAAGGGCTGGGGATGTAATAAGTTTGCAAAAAATGTTTTTACCCTCATGATGTTTGGGGGCCTATTTAAAGAAGAAGTCAGATACTTACTGTTTCTGCCTTTTTTATATGGGCAGGTTAATGCTGGATGAATTAATTTACTTTCCCATCCAAGCTATGCTAAGCATGGCTAGAAAGAGTTAAGCATATCAGTTTAATATTTTCGTAGTAGTACAGGAGGCTTCCCAGTGTTGATGTAAATATGTGACAAATGTTTAGTATGACCCTTAGTGCATATTGATTTTTTTCATATATCCTTGTAATAATTTCAGGTTTTTAAGACCATTGCTTTTTCAAAACGTTCACATATAAAAATGGTGCTAACTAGGAGCTATTACAAGGCTATAACGATGTTCTTTTGGATGTTCAGTGTAAGATATGCATGACATGTTTTGATAGTATTTTTCATTTATACTGGCTTGATTCATTTGTGCTTATTAAAAACATTAGTAATTATACTAGTGTTAACATCCAAAAATTATCCAAATGCCTGTTATGCTTTTTATGGTTCCTGAATAGGGATTTAGAGAAAGATACATTTTTTTTTATCTTCTTTCTTCTTGTGCTAGATATTACATGTCCTCCTTAAAACCAGAAATGTATGCATTAAATATAAAGCACTAGGCAGTTAGTTATGCATTATTTTGTACACGTCTTAGGTAACTGAATATTTTAAAGTTATTGAGGAAAACTGGAACTCAATATTTACTTGAGTAATGGTTCTACATTTGGTTCTACTTTGACTAAAGAAATGATCTTTCAAAGCAAATTGTTTGCTATAGTCAAGTGACAGCTTATTTAAAAGAAGTGGTTGACTCATTTTGTTTTAGCATGTTTGGTAAATGTCTGTTAGTCTTGAACACATTGCCTTGCATTTTATTAGGTATTGGTACTTTTATTTTTGGTACTGTAGTCATTTTCTTTTCCATGACTTTTTTTTTTTTTTAACCTGTCCCCATCTCTTTATAGTCTCTGCAAAACCAGTGTATATTTGTTTCCTCTGAAAAATTCATACTGCATTCTTAAGTGCCATAATGTTCTAAACTATTGTTAAGAAGCCATTTGTAATCATAAAATGTAAGTTCATTTGTTAGTATATATGTTATTTCTTGAAAACTATTTATAGCCAGGCAATTTGCAGTTTTCCTTGTTCTTCCATACACTGCTAGTTGTAGATTTAAATATATACTACAAAACTATGTAAAAATCACCTTTAATCATAAGTACTATCATGCTTTATGAATATTTGCACAGATTGTAAAACCTTGCAAGTGATTTTTAGCCTCTTCTAATTAAGAACTCAACAGGAGCTACTAATAAAATTGACAGGCTGAGTATTTTCTATATTGCTTTGTTTAAATAATGATATATAGCAATAACTTTTTAATTGATTTGAATAAGTCTATTGAATAGAAACAAGGTGCACTATTGTGATAGGCCTAGATTTTATTTAAAGAAAAGCAATTTAAAATAGATTCCATCACATACTTAATTTTAAATCCCTGACTCAATTTTCCTTCTGTTTATATGGAAGTTGTTAAATACATCTTATTACTCTATTTTTAATCCTTTCTCCCCAGAAGGGACTTTGAAAGACTAGAAAATTATTTTAATTATAAACATATCTATAGTATACGTTTTATTTTAACAATGTTTTATTCAATGTGTCATCCCCACTATCAAATTAGTATAAAATAATCATTTGCTAAATTAGATCAAAGACATATATCTATCATTGTTTTGGAAAAATCTGAATTTTGTGTTGAAGAAGAATAAATATAAAACATTTGGGACAATAGTAGGAGCCGTATTCCAGAGAACAAATTACAAAAACCTGTGCAAGGAAGAGAAAAACCAAATTTAGAAATATTTATTTCAGGTTTGCTAATCCTACTGTACTGTTCATAATAAGTATTATTAATGTGACCTAACAACTGATAACTTTACAATAGGACCTTCTTGTACAGATTTGTGACAAGCTTCATCATGAATACTCTGCTGACAAATTGTGAATTTAAAGCCACATATTTCTTATTAAAAAGGGTAAAGATATTTGATTATAAATTCCCAGGGTTAAAGATATTAGAAATAATTTTATATCATCAGGCAAGAAGGAGTCACCTATTTAAGATTGCCCAGGAATATTTTTGAAAGAAGTGACAGTGGGAAATAGTAATTGTCTAATTAATTAATTGGAAGATAATTGCCTTCTATAATGATTTTATGAAGACTTAATCTGTTAGGAATGTTTGGCTGTTTAATATTTGTTGAATATAGTAATAGAATTTAAGTGATTTTTAATGTAGCCCAAAGGATATTTATGTAAGTTCCATATGTTAATGCTAATACTATTTTAGATATGAATGAATATTAAATTATAGGAAGTGATATAAGTGATAGGAAAATGGCATTCATTAGGTTTTGAGAAATTATTTTGATAGCTTGACAAATATGGCGGGTGTACTATATGTACGAGATACTGTGCTAGATGCTGTTGGGGCTAGAAATCTAAATAAGATGCAGTCTTTTTACTCAAAAGAATAAAATATAGTGAAGGAGATCTGTACCCAAATAACTATTGGGTTGTCGGAAAAGTCCTGACGCATTTTTGCAACAAGAAACATAGAAAAAATATGTCATGACTTTTCCGAAAACCCAATAGTATCATAAAGTGTGAATCTAATTCCTTATCTCCAACATCATAAGAACTAATTAGAGACCCAGTTTATGTATAAATATTTGTGTCTTTTAGTGTCCAGTGTTTTGTTGACATGAAAAAGAATTATAGAAAACCTAATGTTTATAGAACTCCCAATTTCCTGGAATTGGATAATATATTTTCTAGTAGAAAAACATAGTTATAGAAACTTAAAAAAAAAGTACTTAACTACATTATTAAGGCTCTGGCAGACATTGAAGGAAATATATGTACATGTAATGCTGTGTTTTCAGTTTTGGTGTAGGGTTTCTGGTATTGTCACCTAAGTGCTCATTTTCAGGAAAATCAGATTCTACAATAAATATACTGCTTAAAGTTCAATAAACTTGTGAGAACCTCTATAACCTCTGTAGTCTGAAAGTGAAGAAATTCTAAGATGTCACATGTCAGTTAACATCCAGTTCTACCTTTTAACCTTTTTTCCTTTGTAAAACTGCACTTTAAATTAGACATGATTTAATTAGATACAGTTATTCTATGGCTGGATATATATTGGATTTTCACTCACAGTATATTGAGTCAGTGTTTAAACATATTTGAGAAGAGTGAGGGATACAGTAAGTTTTAAGTACTATAGGTTTACAAGTTTTCTTACTGGTATGAATATGGAGTCAAACAAAAATCCAGTTTACATCTCTGCAGAGAGAAAAATTGTTATCCATATGTCTTTTATATTACACATATTTAACTAGAGATAATTTATTGTTAATTTTGTCAAGTTATAATGTGTAAGTTCCATTTATTTTAAAATACCAAGCAAAAAGTTCCAAGTTTGCCTTAAAATACAAGTGAAATTAAAGAACTGGATGATAATGCCTATATTTTTGCCTTATGAATTGTGCTGTATCATAAACCAGAGATGGTTTCGATTTTAACAGGATTCTGAAATTTTGTAGATGTAGAGTACTAATAATATATGTACTCTCTTGCAAAGAATGTGATATAGTTGTGGATTATGTTAATGTTTAAATGTTTTTGTATATGTATTTTACCTCTGAATATGTATCTTTTTAGCATCAGGATTTCATTTTATTTTTGTTTACATAGTTAAGTGGCATTTAACTTGTTGAAGGTTGTATTCTTTTGACTTTTATTTTTGAAGTTCTTTGTGTGCACTATTGTGGTTATGCTCTGTAATGACTATGGTTCACTTTCATTTAATGTGAAACGTTTAGAATAAATTTGAAAAACATGACTTTCCTGTGTCAATTGTTTTGAACTGACCCAGGCTAACTTGGTTATGTTCAGCTCTTAGGTTCTTCTTGGTAATGGCCACAAACGTTGAGGTGGGTGTGGGATAGCCACAGGCTCAGGTACTTATTGAAGAAACATCCATTAGCAAAGGAGGCATGGAAGGGTTCTATTGGAAGTTTAATGCAGTCCCAGCTTTCTATCCCATTAGATTCTCTAACCAGGCTTGGAAGAAACGTTTACCTGAGACAGACAAGGCAGCATTCCAGGAGATTCTCTTACCTTTATGGCCAGCAGCAGGTAACCAGCAGTCCCCCTAAAGGAAGCTGTAAAACAGGATTGTGCTCCAGGCACCATCTTTAACAAGGTGTAAACTACAGGGCTGAGTGCATTCAGATAACCTGTTCGTGCAAGGATCCTGCAGTGTCTCATTTATTTAGACAATCCAAAAACTTGAAGAGGGGATTTTACTCAAATTCTTGGATTTTAATGTTTTTTCTTAGCCTATAAATCTTGGTTTCTATCAACATTAACATTATTACCTATTTGATTTATCTTACAACATATTTCTAATAGTTTCAAAATAACTATAAATAAGGACGATGAATGCAGTTAAGATCCCTTTGTTTTTCTTTTTTGTCCTTAGAATGTATCTCACAAAGATAAACAAAACACTGGTTTTAGAGTCAAATGAAGTAATATTTTTATTTGGTTAAAGCATAATTGAACACTGTAACACTTAAAGTTATTTCAATTTATGCTTTAATTTCTAGGGATATACTTTTATTTTTAAATTATATAAAATATTGACCTGAACATTGACACTGTATGGGTAGATGCATTCACAGAAGTTTTGTCTGCATTTCCATCTCTTTACTCTGTTTATTTTTATTCCCCTATAGGTAGACATTTGTTACATGTTGGTTCCATTGTTTCATTTTGAAAATATGCATACCCTTTCCCCATTACCTTAGAATCAGATAGCATATTGTAAAAATACTTTTTCAACTTTTTTTCACTTAATATATTAAGGAGATTATTCCATATCAATAAATGGACATAATTCATATCCATATTTGCAGTTACATAGTACCTTACTGTATACTATAGGACTACTAAGTAGTCTGTTGTTGATGGACATTTAGATTGTTTCCAGACTTTTATTTAGAAGTAATGCTGCAATGAATAGCATTGTGCATTTGTCATTTTGTGTTTTGGGCATAGACTTTAAGCAGGAATTGCTGGGTCAAAGAGGAGATAACATATAATTTTGCTAGATCTTCCCTGTTTTAGTCAATTCAGGCTGCTATAACAAAATACCATAGACTTGGTGGCTTATTAACAACAGAAATTTATTTCTCACAGTTCTGGAAGATGGAAGTCCAAGACCAGGTGCCACCGTGGGTGGGTTCTGGCAAGAGTCTCCTCAGGGTTATAGACTGCCAACTTCTCATTGTATTCTCACAGGGCAGAGAGTAGAGAGGGGAAGAAAGCTCTCGTGACTCTTGTAAGGACACTAATCCCATTCATGAAGGCTCAATCTTCATGGCCTCATCTAATTCCCTCACAAGGAGGAGGGTAGGATTTCAATATACGAATGTTGGGGCGACACATTCATTCCGTAACATTGTCCAGTTCTCGCAAGAGGCGTTGCCGTCAACAATAGGCAAAAAGAGAACTTTATAAGCTGTTTTTATTAATCTACCTACTCAGGGGCTTGTTAAAAGACAACACTTGGCCTCAGGATTTTTGTGGGTTGTTTTTGCCTCAAATTATGTCTAACATTAAAATATAAAGAAATAAGGTCCAGCCGAGTGGTGCGTTGGTTAAGAGCTGGCTTGGGATGCCAGAGGGCCCCGGTTCGGATCCCACATATGAGGGCCAGTGACACCGCCCTCTACAGCTAAG